CTCCCTTGTTACCCACACAGCGCCCTTCGCTTCCGAAGAACCACCTTCGCCCTCACCTCACCTGCGCCCCATGCAGCCCGGCTATGGCCGCCAGCACACAGTGCACAGGCAGCGCCCTACCGCCTAGCGCCTGCCTGCCTTGCACCTCTTCTTAGCGCAGCGCAGCAGCAGCTTGCATTCGCAGCGTGCCGGCAATGCTCGCATTGGCCAAGATCCCTGCCCACTCACCCTGCTTGCCTATATGCCAGTGCTGCGTGTGGGCGGCCTCCCTTCAGCCTGCGACCGGGCCCCAGTGCCTGAACCCAGGCCCGATGCAGTTGGTGCCCGGGTGATGCAGTTGCACCTCTTTCGTCAAGGCCTGCGGCCAGATTTAGATAGTGGGCCGATTTCCCTTTGGCATTTTCAGCCTCTATACCAGCGTGCATTCTCGGCCTCACATTCAGGTGCCCAGGGCCTAACTAACTCAGAGGCCCTGGGTTCTCCACATTTGCAGAGATTCGAGACTTGGTGCACTCCAACCAACTGGCGTGCTGCAACTGTATGGACCCCACTTCGGGAAATGTTTGCACAGAGGGCTCTTGTTGATTTGCTGGCCCGCTTTCACTTAGGGCGGGCACTAAGCTTGCTGGGGCCTTAGCCCAGAACATGTACATCATGGCAAGGCCCCTTCTTGAGGGCTCAATCCTCACATTCCATCCCCCTTAGCTTCGAAAGTCCGCTGAGATGCTTACTTCGCAGGTGCCTTCCCTTTCAGCAGTCTCTCGTATTCTGCCACCACCTGAGGAGCTGTCTTAATCAGTTCCTCTCTGGTAAACCACCGATCTTCTTTTGGATCCATATGATGCCTTAATCTGACGCGATACTCTCTCTTGGGTTTAGGAGGTCTTCCTCAACCCAGCGGCTTCGGAACAGGCATATCCCTGTGATCCACAATGTTGTCGATGTCCACTTGATCATCCATGGTTGGGGGCAGCATCGATCTCCTGGAAGGGAATTGATCTGTCTCAGCGAAAGGTGCAAGCTTTGAGGCATGAAAGACTGGGTGAGTGCGTAGGTGTCCAAGGACACGAATGACATATGTGGGGCCATCCATCTCATCTCCCACTATATCCAGGACTTCCCAGGGACCAAAGTACAGAGGCATTAGTTTGCGAGAGATTCCAAACTCCTGTCCTAACTCACTAGCCTTGACCCAGACACGTTCCCCTACCTGAAATGTGGACTGTCTACGGTGTTGATTCTCAGAAGCAATCATTGCTTGCTGAGCTTTCTTCATGTGCTCGACAACTTCTTGCAGCAACTTCTCATACTGCACACCATACTCAAGTGTACCCGGAGTTGCAGCGGGTCGGTTTTTAGGTAGGAGGAAGTCTAATGCTGATCTAGGTTTCCATCCCAAGTGAAGTTCATTAGGACTAACGCCGGTACTGTTGTGGACAGCATTGTTGTACAGGCTGGCGATGAGAGGCAACTGCTCATCCCAATCATCCTGGCTAGGCTTGATGTAATGCCTCAGCAAGTGCTGTACAACCCTGTTCATTTGCTCGGCTTGTCCGTTGGCTTCGGGATGATTCCCTGAAGTCATCTGAAGTTGACTGCCCATCTGTTTTGCAGTCTTCTTCCACAACTCACTTGTGAATCGGACATCTCGGTCACTAACGATTGACTTTAGTAAACCAAAGTCACGCACCCAGTTGTTTTTGAACAACTTGATGACATAGTCAGTTTTGCGGTCTTTGGCATAGGCACTAGTGAATCGATCGATGATGACGAAGATGTGCCTCTTGCCACTCTTACTAGTCACCAGGGTGTCCATGAAATCCATGGAAACACTCTGTCCTGGACCAGCAGGAATAGGCAAAGGCTTCAACAACCCAAGTGGTGCTTGAGTTCGTGGCTTGTCCCGCTGACAGACCTGACAGGTCTCTACGTACTTCTTTGCGTCATCAAACATTCCTGGCCACCAAAATCGTTGTACTAGGTTAGCACTCGGCTTCTTGTAGCCGAAGTGTCCCATTGCGTCATGGCATTCTCCTAAGAACAAACTACGCAAAGGTTCACTAGATGGTACTACTAATCTTTTTATTATGGTCTTATCAAGATAGAGGAGCCCGTCCACCATCACAAACTCGCTTTCCGTGGCCTTGTCTTTTGCCTGAAGTTTGCGAATGATGTCCATCGTGACAGGGTCTTCCTGATAGGCTCCCACCAACGACTGAGTTACTTCATCAGATACGCCAAAGTCAGAAACCAGCGCACCTAGGTAGCCTGCTCTACGTGATAGCGCATCAGCAACCTTATTATACTCTCCCTTCAGATACTCAAGCTTGAAGTCATACTGGTCTATGACCTCAATCCATCGTTTGAGTGCATTAGAAAGAGTCGATTGAGTCTTGATCCATTCGAGGGTCTGATGATCAATCCTCAAGTAGAAGAACCTTCCCAATAGGAAGTGTCTCCAATGGACAAGTGCTTTATATAAAGCATAGAGTTCCCTTTCATAGGTGGACTTTGCCAACTTCTTTGATGGCATCTTCTTGCTCATATACTTAATCGATCTCAACTTTTTCCCATCCTGTTGAGCCAGCACTGCGCCAATGCCGTATTGGCTTGCGTCAGTGGTCACTATGAATGGCTTCTGAGGATCGCGAACCATGAGAACCTCATGATTCATGAGTGCATGCTTCAATCTCTTGAAAGCACCCTCGCACTCATCACTCCAGTCCCACGGCGTGTGAAGTCGAGTTAGATCAATCAAAGGAGAGGCGACTGTAGAATAGTTCTTTACAAAGTTCCTATAGTAGCCGCACATTCCTAAGAAAGGTTTGACCTCAGTGACAGTCTGAGGTCGTGGCCAGTCTCAAATACTAGCCACCTTCGCATCCTCCGGGCTAATCCCTTTCGCGGATACTTCATGACCCAAGTATAGTATCTTAGTGCGACCGAACTCACACTTCTCTAAGTTGACCTTATACTTGTGTTGTCGCAGGAGTGAGAGTACAGTCTCAACGTGCTTTGCATGCTCCTCGACAGACTTGCTAAAGATCAGAATATCGTCAAGGTATACCACGACAAACTTATCTAAATGGTCATGGAAGTTCCGATTCATAGCGTGCTGGAATGTACCCGACGCATTACAAAGACCAAAGGGCATATCTGGTCTGAAAACTGTCTTGTGTTGGTCCTCAGGTCTTATTGCGATCTGATGATATCCGGATTTCAAGTCTATCTTACTATAGTACTTGCATCCCTGCACCCTATCCAATAGGTCGTCTATGCGGGGTAGAGGCTCTGCGTTCTTCACTGTGATGGCATTGAGGCCTCTATAGTCAATGCACATCCTCAAAGTACCCCCCTTCTTCGGTACGAATAGAACGGGTGATCCGTAAGGGGAAGTACTAGGCCGAATCCATCCCTTCTCTATCGACTCCTTAAGCTGTCGCCGAAGTTCATCTAACTCGGCGGGAGCCATCCTATAGATCCTTCCCTTTGGGGTCTTACTCCCTGGAATGATTTCTATAGCGTGGACAACTTTCCTTTCAACAACTCCTGTGGGCTCTTCAAATAGATCAGGGAACTTAGCAACGACGCGTTCTATCTCTGGGGGTGTTTTAACGGCCTCCCCTTTCTCAGAGACATACACAAGATACATACCTTTCTCTTGGTTTTGCTTGTAGTAATTGTAGAACGCTGATGCACACAAGCAGCCATAGGTATCTATAATGCTACTGGCTTTGAACTTATTCAATCTGACAGTTCGGCCATCAGGCAACTTATGCTTGAGCACCTTCTTATCCCAGTCGAACAGGGGCTTAGCAACTTCGAGGTAGTACATGCCTAATAACATGTCAAATGGTAAGTCGTCGCTAACCAAGAACGAAATCTTATGATTAAGTTTGCCTCCTCCATAGGAGAAGGTACAGACTACGTCCTTGATATAGTCTGTGACTATCATGCGCTCCTTGTTGGCCAAAGTAGATGCTACAGGTCTACTAAGGTGCCGTACCCGGTCCTGTAGGTGCAGCGTTTCCAAACAGTCGCGACTTATGTAATTCCGCGTGGAGCCTATGTCTATGAAGGCACCACATTTGCGGCCTCCTACATCGACTTCCACCACGAAATGTTCCCCTCTAGAACCTTTCTTTAGCGCCACCCAAGACTCGCGAGTGTCCTTGTTTGACCACTCACTCTCCAAGTCTTCTAAGGCATCAGACACATCTAACGTATAGAGCATAGTTTGGTCTAGATGAGCCTGCGGGGTGACTAAGGAGTCATTAGCTTTGGCCTTCTCGTGAAGTGGGGAGGGTATCTGGCCCACTTCACCAAGAGTAGAAGCAGCTAAAACTTCCACTGGCCTCACGCGTTTCCCGAGCTAGAAGCCTGGGAATAAGATGCCCCCATCTTTGGAGGTATCTTTTGCGTAACTTTTGCGTTCTGGCACTTGTATTGCGAGTGACCGTATTCCCCGCAATTGATACAAGCGCCACGCACTCGGCGGTCACGCCACACGTCTTGATCAAGACCTGCCTTCACCCAATCAGCATGCTTGGTCTGATTGGAGGCGGCCTTCCCCTGACTCCTTGGTTGGCCTTTCCCTCAGCCACCTGCCTTAGCCTTTACAATTGCGGCGAGGGTGCTACCCTCAGCGGTCTCCTCACCGTCGTACTCTGAGTAGTCCATCAGGTCAGTGAGCTCATCGATTTCCGTTTGAGTCCCATCGGACTCAACCATCATCAACTTCGCCTTTTTCTTCCACTCCTGAGGACTCTTCTTCTTCTTCGTGTCACTCTGAGAGGGTTGAGCATTGCCTAGAGTGGCCTCCAAATCTAAGGCTTTCCTAGACAATGTCTCAAACGAATGGTACTTGACGTGTGCCTCACTGGCCAGCAAGTTCCTGATGTTCTCTGGAAGACATCTAACAAACGTAGTTAACATGAACCGGTCACTGTAGTTGATGCTTGGAACGAGGATCAGGCTCTCAACGGTAATCGTAAGCTCTCTAACCGACTTGAATTTTCGTTGATCTAACTTGTTAATCGCATCAGTGGCTCTTTGTGCCTCCTGTGGATTATGCCATCGAGCTTCTACCATCTCCATGAACTGGTCTAACGTTAAAGACTTAGCCCAGTCCGCCATGTGTCGCTCGTACCTGGCCTTTACAACTACACCATCTAGCCATTTGGCTGCCTTACCCTCGAGGTAAGATGCAGCGGTAACCACTTCGTCCTCCAGCAAGGTCCTCTTGGCCTTCACCCAAACCGGGACTGTCCTCAACCAAGTGTTGAGCTCTTTGTCCTTTCTCTCACCTGAGAAGGCAAGAGGCGGTTTCATTGGGGTCTTAGGATACCATTGACCCTGCGGCTGTCCCTGTTGAGGAACAAGTTGTTGTGGTGGTGTAGCTCCCACCGCTGGACCCGAAGAAGAAGATGCTACAGTCTGTGCAACTGCTGCAGACGTACCACTTGGTTGTGTACCAGCTTGAACTGGAAAGGGGCCTGACATCGCCAAAAACGGCAACGACGATTGTGCTGGTGGCCTAAATCCTGGCCTGGTCAGAACGTCCAGGATCTGGTTTAAAGTGTTCTGCATGAAGTCCAACCTGTTGTCCACGTGCGCATGCAGYGACAGCATGTTGTTCCTCAACACTTTCATGGGCTCATTCATTCCAGAGTCATCCAAGCCCTCTAACTCAGCTTTGTCAGCCTCTAATGTATCAAGCCTGGCTGTTCTATTTTTTATTTCCCTTTCTCTGTCGGTAGCTTGTTTCAGTTCCCTCTCTAATCTTTCACGGATCCTTTCGACCTGTTGGAGCTCCCTGAGCTCCCTTTCGCGAGGAGTCAACGGGCTGAACTGCGAGCCCGCCATTTCACTTGTAGACTGACGTGATCCTACTAAACTAGAAGTGCTCGCGGACCCTGTTGGCATTCCCAACTGGGGTCCAGACGAGGAGACAACAGAAGATGCAATGGAGGATGCTGCTGCAGAAGACATGGTTGTTGCCCTGGCTGCTGCTGCAGCCTGTTCCCTAGCTGCAACGTTTGCTGCCTCTCTCAATGCCGCGAGAGCACGGGCTCTGCATTCGGCACGAATGCGTCTTTCGTCTTCCGGTTGTAGGGCCTGGAACACGTGCGGGATCCTACGTGACCTTGCACGTGTTAGTCTAGCATTGTCAACTCCCTCCTCATCGACGTCTGACCCGTTCATGAATTAGGCAAACATTGACTGCACTAGAACCCCCTACTGGAGTCCTACCACAGCATGTGTCTGACCGGCACCTCATTTTCTAAAAATAGTTGTGTCCGGCAGGTCCCCTACTGTACCGGTCAAGTGGCATGTCTACAACATTCACAACAGATTGTCTACATAGTCTAGATGTACTCTGATTGGTTCACTTACAGCAGCATTAGACAGAACTGGCTATGATAGCATACAACAGTCCTAATCTAATTCTGTCTGTGAGGTGTTAGCAGTCTGTCCACCAACTAATCAAAATACAAAAAGACCATGTTGCAGATGTATGATGAGTGGGTATGGTTGTGTATTCAGTTGAGCACCAATTAGAACCTACCCTCCCCTCAATCCAACATACCGGTGAGCATCATTGAGCGAGCAGTGTCTTCGTGTGTGTATCGGCCCACCCCTGTGCCCAAGTCGTTACCGAGCAAGCCAGCCCAACCACTCTTATTTACCCTCGTACGGCGACGAGCCTTCCTATCCATGTGATCTGGCTGATCAGGAGGAATTTATAGAGCGCCCCCATCTCTTCAGGAATTCTTTAACGTCGCAGTCAGGATGACGATCACAACCAGAATCACAATGAACTCCCAACCAGAAATATTTATGGACGGTCTAGTAAGCGTCTGTCATGGGCTGGCAAACCCGGCAGGACTTCTATTCAGCGCAGCAAGTGCCAAAATGGACAGCAGCCATCGCATGCGTGACCTACTCCCATTGGGTTGGCATGGTGACCGTGACCCAGTGCTTCGACCAGGGCCCTTTAGAGGCACCGCCCTTTCTCCTTCCAGATGTCGTCTCTCAAGGTAGCGCACTCACGACACCTCACCAAAAGAGAGGACTCTCAAGTTGGACTCACTTCCTCACGGTAAGAAGAGACTGAGAGAGTAGATAAGGTAAGGGAACAACGTACCTGAAGATAGGTGCCCCCAACCACAAATTTTTCACCAATTGAGCTGAGTGTGCATTTGATGACCGGTCTTGGCCTCGGTACCACCCACAACGCAATGCAGTGCCACCTCAGCCGAATGCCACATCAGCATGCTCTCATCACCAATCATACATTCCACATGTCACCACGGCATACACTGTCATCTTAGCCTTCCGGCGCACCCCTCTCTACCCAGGGTGTGCGCCTATATATGGCCTGACGTCACAAGTACCAACTGCGAAGAAGCATCGTCAACGCACCAAGTCTGTATAACGCCAGCATGCCAGAGGTAAGTGGCGATCA